GGAGGTGGAGCAGAGCTGCTGCCAGCTGTGGCAGCAGGGACAGCAATGCCTCCCCCCACACCAAGGCCCTGGGCAAGCCATACACCCAGCAGCGGGGAGCAGAGCACCAGGTGTGAGAGGTGCTGGCGGACAACCTGGTCCTGTACTCCCCACTGTAGGCCACCTGGATGGCCCCAGCCCCACTGTGCACCCCCAGCAGCACGCTCACTGTCCACAGTTTTCTGGAAAGCCTGTTATTCCCCACCACAAACACAGACCCTGTCTGTTGACTTCCTCCTGAACAACAGACCTCATCCCCATCTCCCTTCTGAACCATAGAGTCCCTTCCCCTTGCCCCCTAAACCACAGAGCCTCACCATCAACCACCCCACCCATCACCAATAAAGCACCCTCTTCCCCACACAAACTACATACAATGCTTTGTGTGACCTCCTGAGGTGGGGGGCAGTGGAGTGGAGGCATCTACAGGGTGGAGCCCGGGGATTGGTGCCTAGCGCCCCAGCCTCTGCTGCACCACTGCTGATGCAGATGCTGCTGTGATGCCAGCAGCTGAAAGGCTCACCCAGAGGCAAGGGCAGCTGCTGCTCTGCCAGCAAAGCCAGCTCCCTCCCTGCATGTGTCGCTGGCTCCACTAGGGCAGCTCCTGCTCTGGGGACGCATGGAGCAGGGACAAATGAGGGGGAAGGGCAAGCAGGGGGGCCATCTTGTGGGGAACCCAGGGAAGATGCCAGGGTAGGGGGACCTGGCTGCTGGAGGTGCCACTGCTCAGTGCAAGCCCACTGGGGGGCTTGTGGCTGGGTGGTGGGCAGCTGTCAGAGGGCAGGCAGGGCTAGGGCCAGGAACAGAGAGGTGGGCAGGGCAAAGGTGACTGCCAGGGCCAGAATGGTGTCCAGTACCCAGTGGTCCTTCTCCATAGTCTCCACTACCATGGCCACTACCATGGCCTGCTGCTCCTGGGCCTCCACCATCCTCTTGAGGAAGGCAATGTGACTTTCCTTGATGGCCAGGAGCCTCTCCTAGAATGCCTGGTCCTCTTGGGCCTTTTCCCCATCCCTCTCCTGCTTGTGCACAATGTCCTCTACATGGCAGGCCCATGAGTCTGCCTCCACTACTCTGCCAGTGACCAGCCAGTCCAGCTGCAGGTCCAGTTCTGGGTCTGCTGCCGCTAGAGCCAGAGCATACAGAGGACCCTGGCCACGACTGGGGGTGACCCTGAAGGCACATCCCCTTGTGCAGCTGCTGGACCTGCAGAGCCAGGAGAAAGAGGCTGTTTGTTGAGAGTTTGCAAAATTTCTGAAATAATCTGCACTATACCAGGGAGCTGTGCACTGCCTGGCCTCAGACCAGGGATCATGCACACTCAAATGCCCAGGGACCACGATGAGTTGGCTGGGCAGGCCCTGGCACAGGGGCCACTGGCTGAGCCACTGCAGGGGCAGGTGGGCCACTGAGCACCTGCCACAGGCATCCTGCCTTCTTTGCTCCCTTCCCAGGCCAGGACAGGCCTGGCTCCTGGCAGCTCTTGCTGTGGGGGCTCCAGACCCACTCCCCCCATCTCTTGCAGGCCAGACCATGTCCTCCCTTACCAGGTCCACTGCACCCAGACTTGTGGGACGAGGGGTGAAGGCTGACTGGGACACAGAGCTGGTGGTGCCCTCCCTCACGGGGCCTTTCTGGAGAGGTGCTCTGGGACAGGTCCCCCTGCACGTGTGCTCTGTGTCCCAAGCATGCCCCTGGGAAGAGTGTCCTGGGTGTGCTGCAGAGAGCTGTTTGCATGGATCAAGGGGTGCCTGACCCACTACACCCTGCTGCTGCTGATCACCCTGGTGCCCCAAGCACACATTGAGAACCAGGTGTAGGACCCTGAGCTTTGACAGTGTGGCAGGCAAGCCCACACTTCCTCAAAATGTTTGCCAGCTGGAGGGATACCTGTGCCTATGGTACACATCCCTGCCCCACACAGCCAAGGATAACATCACTGTCAGCAATGATGCATTTCTTGCGTGTGAGAGGCCCATGCCTGCCTAGCTGAGTGGGCACTGGCTGCTCAATAAAATTTTACACTGCCTCCCACCTCTCTGCATGCTGTGGAGGAGGGAACTCCAGGGGCCAGTGGGGAGCTTGGCCAGGGCGGGCAGGAAAAGGCCTTCCTCCCAGTGCAGAGCTTACTGAGTGGGTGTGGAAGGCATGCCTGACAGCCTGATTTTGTCCCTGCTGGTGGTGATGACTTGTGACTCTAGAGTGCAGGGGCACGGTGCCTGGCTGCCCAGGAAGGGGCCCCCTCTGGGGAGGAGCTGGAGCTCCTCAGAGTGGGCGGTGCCATCCCCGGGTTGGCCTCCTGGGTGGGGCTGCACAGCTGGAGCTGGCAGGGCAAGCAGTGGCCCGGGCTGCTGGACCTCGTGGATGACACTGGGGGCAAGAACTGTGGCAGGATGTATTCCAGGTGCCCCGAGGGGCCCTCCCCACTGATGTCTCGTTGCTGCTGCCAGACTATGGTGGAGACTCCAGCATGACGCCCATGCTGGAAAGCAAGGTGTGGCTCCACCCAGTCCCAGGGTGCGAGGATACAGTTCAGCTGCCACATGAAGAGCATGGTCCTCAGGCCTGCCCCCAACAGGTAGTTGTGGTCAGTTACACAGATCCACTGTGCCCACAGGGCCTTGATCTTTATGTGGTACTGACATGCTAACTGGTTGTGCCCATGCTCCTGCATGCAGGCCACCAGGCCCTCATAGATGTGTGTGTTGGAGCACCCGCCATGGGCGAATTGGCTCCAGACCTCAGCCTCACCCCACAGTGCAATGAGGTCCATGGTCTCATCCTGGGTCCAGTAAGGCCTATGGGACACAGCGGGCAGTGTCAAGGATGACGTCAGCATGGGTCCTTTGATGGCCCTCAGGTGCTGTGGGTGAGAGTCTGGGTCTACCAGGCCTGGGCAGGTACACACAGCACACAGCAGAGGGACACAGCATGTGACAGGCAAGCAGGCAGTGGGGCTTGGCCAGGGGCCAGCACTGGGGTCTGGCAGGCTGCTGTGGCTGGCCTGGGGCCACTGTTGTGGGAATTGGTGACTAGAGTCAGGCAGCAGGTGGCACAGGCCCCTGCGGTCACTGCAGAGTTTTAAAGGCTAGGCTGGGGCAGGCAAAAGAGAAGCTCTGGGTCTTGTGGCCCTGGGGCTAGCCTGAGGGTGGCCCCCCTGGTGGTGGGGCTGACTGGGAGCAAATTTGCTCCTGGTAGGCATCTACATGTGAGCTACTGTGCAGTAATTATGGAGCAGTTAATGTGCTACCTGCATTTGCAAGTAGCAAATTAACCACACAGTAGACTTATTCACTGTGCAGTAAGTGCCTGCACATGTAGATGGTGATGCTTTACTGCACAGTCAGTCTACTAAAAAAGCATCTTGTGTAGACATACCCGGTTTGTCTGCAAGTGATCTTTCCTTGCCTAAAGGATTTGATGAGCTGATGAATTCCCATTTTCCAAAGGCAAAATGCTTCTTGGCACAGCAAGCTGGACCAAGATCTGCCTCAACAACTGACAGAATATGTTAGCAACAGCTGTATCACTTTTACTTGAATGTGTGGAGTGAAGATTTTGAGATCCAGCTGAGTTGCTCTCAGCTCCAGTTCCATGATGCAGAATCTGGTCCTCTATACAGGTGAATACAAGTTGTAGGTTGTCTAGCAGCTAACCTATGCGACTTATCCAGTCTTGGAGGCATTTGAGACTGCAACACTAGAAAAGACTAGGCATTCAAAGGAAATCCCTAAACAGACACCACAAGGGCGATTCTACCAGACTAGCTTTTGGGAGGCCTCCTAAGGAATGTGTACTGTAGGGCCAACACACTGATTGATGTTACATTGCTTTTTTATCACTTGATGATCAAGTCCTAGCATTTCTACGTTTCGAGACTTATTGACCTTTTCCAACCATGACAAAAGGGTATTTTGATAGGATGGACAGGGATTTTCCACCAGTGTCTCTCTCCCTCTTTATTTTGCAAAGGTGATGATCACAAGAAGGCCATCTTTGTGGACAAATGAGAGAGCATGTAGTTTGCCATTGGTTCAAGTGGTAGGGCCATCATTGCTATTAGGGCCAAAATCAGGTCATAGTGAGAAACCAGAGAGAATATCTTTGTCAGATCCTTGAGAAAATTTTAGCATTGCTGAGTGGGAGAAGACAAGCTGGTCACTTCCTAGTGGGTGGTGAGCTGAGATAATGGCAAGGTCACTTTGAAAAAACAGAGAAAAAAGTCAATGCATTTCAGCTCTAGAAGGTGGCCCTAAGTACCCAGAAGGGAGATCTCATAATGGAAAGGGGACTTCACATAACACCAAACCAAGAACCTAATACTCTAAGCCAAATAGGTTTGCTTGAGGGCCATCAAGTAGCCAGGCTGTGAGAGGGAGAGTAAATAAATCTGAGTGCAGCATCTTCCTCCATTGTGGGAAAATAGGTTCAGAGGCAGCAGCCGAATGGGCCTGGGACTCTTTCACAATATACAAAGAAGGCCCATAAAATAAACATGTTGGAGTCAATAGGATCTGCTCTGTGGCAGTTTGCCTGACCTTGCAGAATAGTTGTGAAATTAGAGGTATACTCAGAAAGGGATACTAGAATTCACCTGATGATAAGATGAGAAAGGCACTGGACAATGAAATCAGGCTGAGACCCACCTTAGAACAAAAGGTTCAGCACTCCTTGCTGATGTAGGAGACAAAGAGGTACATCTCTGGATGCACCCAATCTAAAAATATATCCTGAAAGACAGTATCCTTGATCCCTGTTCATGATTCAGAGAGTTGTGCCTGCTGAGACAGTTCCCTTGTGTATTCTGAGGACCCAGTGTGGGTCTAAAGCTGTCCTAGGGGGCCTCATGAGTTTGACATCCCTGGTACATGCCAATGCTTGAACAAGCTGTAGAATTATGTTTGCTTCCCTTGACATATCTGAGCCCTTTAGACATACTTTTTTTAAACTCAAAAGCCTACCGTAAAATCCATTTTGGATTAAGCTGGTGCCATACTGAGCCCTCCAAAGGAATGGATTTTGTGCTCTGGCCAGGTGAGGATCCTCTGGCCCCAATAAATCAAGTAGCTTCTTCACAGCATTCTGTCTCTGAAGGCATAACACAAGGGAGGAGTCTGATGTGAGGTAGTTGCAAAAAGCTTCCAAGATTGCTGGATCCTGAAGGGAATAAGGTGAAGAAGCAGATTGCACTGTTTGATTTTGTTGCAAATTTCCAATGGGTAGCAAGCAAACAAGTCAACTTACTTGCTTCCTGCAATAGTATATATGCCCATCTTCTCTTCAGGCAGAGCTGCCTCAGTACACACTGTGATAACCAAACCAGCAGCTGGGCATCTCAAACCCATTAGGGCATAGGCACTGACTCTGTTGCTCAAGTGCACACTGAAAAAAATTAGTGAGTACTCAACAGAGCCATGCTTGCAGATGTTAAAACCAAACAAACAAAAAATGCGCGTTACTGGAAAAAAGAGCATGTTCCTTAAACCCGGCTCTTCAGTGTCTGTATAGATTGGGTGCTTCAGCAGGGTTTTTTGGTGCTTTTAGCTAAAGCTGATTCAATCAGCTATTAAATGAAAGCACCAAAAAGGCCCCACTAAAGTGCTGCATCTTTAGAGATGCTGCAGAGCTGGGTTGAAGTAACGTGCTGCCTCTTCTGGGCATGCATGGGGCTCAGCACAGGAATGTGCCGAGTTAAAAGTAAAGCGCTGTTTTGTGGGGGGGTTGTTATGTCTGCAAGCATCCACCGGCAAAAAACAAAGGTGGCACCTATGCACCAGGGACTGCATGTGGCAGCCCCCTCTATGCACAATCTGCCAGCTAGTGAGCACTAGGGGTGGCATTCTATTCCCTTCCTGGTTATAGAAGGGTCCGGATTTGGTTGTCTACATGGTATTTCTGGTCATCTGAGTCTTTTATGTCCCAGGCAGGAATTTTAGTCATGGCTGCATAGACTGCACATGTACATAGTTGTCTGTATGTATAGGCTGGGTCTGCACAGTAATCTGTGCACTGGCAATGCATGTACCTATGACCCTTATAGACATGCAGTGGCCTCTGATGCCTGAAAATGTAGTCAACCAAAATACGTAACCAGAGGAACTTATTGAGTCAGGAATGGAGGAGGAGAGAGAGCTTTCCTGTGTTTTGCCTACAATAGCTGAGTAGCTAGGGCAATGGGGTCAACCTTTTGGCAGGTGTGCCACAAATTAAGCCCTGTGCCCTCCCCAAGTGCCACTGCAAACCCCGTCCCTTGTCCTATCTGCAATCTGCTTCCACAGAACACCATAAGGTGTTCTATCCCTTACAAACAATCATCCTACCTAACATAGCTGTTGGCATCATGATTACACCTATATTGTCCCATTCATTTTGAACCTTGACAATTTGTGGCAGTGAGTTTCACAGACTGTTTTGTGTACAGTACTCTTTGCTTGTATCTGTTTTAAAAACCTAGCTAACAAACAGCCTAGAACATTGCACGCTGGTTTACTGAAAGGTTGGGTGGCAGCAAAATAAATGATTCATTGTATCAAACTTGTTTTCTTTTAGTAACAACATGGAAGACTAATTTCTCTCTCAGAATCAAACGTACATTAGCTTAATGTGTTACGCATGCCCCTGACTGCGCAGTTCCAGCGGCACACAGGTTGTTTCTGCCCCTACTTTGCTGTAGCACTGTGCTACGGCAACGTAGTTCATTGCTACAGCAATGTACCAGTAGCATCATGATTAGTGCCTGCCAATGCTATGCCACTGCAGCAATGAGCTACATCACCATAGCTCATCACTATAGTGATGTAGCATCTCGTGTAGATGTGCCCAGAAAGAACCTCTTTTAGTGCAGAAATTCTCTTCTTGCCCCAGTCATGCAGATATATAAGCACAAATCAGACCTAAGATCTGAGAGTAGGGAGGTTTGACTGTTATCATGGAAAAAAAGTGAAGGATGGAACCTGCCTGAAGGGACATCAGGGATTGAGGCTTGATTTGCTTAGAGATAAGTGTTGGATGATCCAGTCTTCAACAGTGTTGCATTTGCTTTGAGTGACAAATATTGGGCTCAGTCCAGAGGTAGGGATTCTGAATATAGGAGTAATTCCTTCTTGTTTGTCATATATGCATCCACTACTTGGCTGCATGCACCTTGGTGTGGAAGCTATGGAGCCAGATCATACAGCTGGATTTGGGGAGCTCCCCAGTTGCCAGTTGCTTACTAGAGGGGCTCTTTAGTCCCCAGCTATATGTGCTCTGGCATGGAAGCAGTGCACACGTAGCTAGTGACTGATGAGCTCTCCAGTTTCAAGCAGCATGCTTCTATACTGGGAATTGGCACTTGGGGCTCTCCCCATTGCTCTCCCCACCTGATCAGCAGAGGCAGTCCCTGGTTCAGAGACCCACCTACTGAAAGGCACACTGGTGCAGCCCAGCATCAGGGAAGTGGTTCCCTAATGCCAGGCTGCATCAGTGCTACCAGGAAGCAGGGAACCTGGTTTGGGGGACTGGGTCCCCCATGCCAGGTTCCTGGCTGCACAATTGTACAGTTGGGTTCTGAGGAATATTATCCCCATGCACATCTGATACAGTAGGAGGTGTGATCTTTGGGATTGGGTATAAAATTTCTCAGAGCCCAATTGCACGGTCATTCTAATGTCTGCCAGCGGCCTGGTTTTCAGTGATTCAGCATTAGGGCTGTGCGAAATGCCACCGTTCCATTTCGACTTGTGTTTCGACGGAACAGCATTTCGTTTTGAATTTAGTTTCAATTCAAAACTGCTGTTCCATTTCATTTTGTTGAAACAGTTTTGCTGTTTTGACACTTTTTCAACGTTTTGTCCATAGGCTATAATGGGGAAGCTTGAAACAGCCTATAACTTTGTCATTTCTGGCCTGATTTGGATGAAATGATAGCCCCTTCTGAGGGCACGAAGCCTGCCAAGTTTCAAGGAGATAGGTACAGGGGTTTCAGGGAAACTGCAGCTCAGAGTCTTGAAAGTAAAAAACTCATGTCACGTATATGTGCTATGCCACAGCAGGGTCACAACTGCAGCCTTGTTATCCCTTGCTGAGGCAACAAAACCTGCCAAGTTTCAAGGACATAGGTGCAGCAGTTTGGGGAAAACTGTACGTCAAGCTGCGGACAAGCAAAAGTCATGACATGGGTGACACTGTGTGTGTGTTAAGGCTCAGCAGGGTGAAAGCTGCAGGCCTGCTAGCCCCTGCTGAGGCCATGAAGCCTGCCAGCTGTCAAGGGGATCAGTGCAGGGGCTTCTGGGTTCTGGGGCCCTGCACCTCTGGCTGCTGACAGGCAAAACTCATGTCATGGGTGGGTGACACTGTGTGTGTGTTAAGGTGCACCCTCACTTGGCTGACACCAAGGCAGAAAGCAGGGCAATTCAAACAATGCTGCCTTTTATGCAGTTTTTCCATCCCTCCCCCAGAGCACTGGGATTGGAAA